AAGTCTTTTCATCTCTGGTCTCAAGTATCTGGCATAGTAGCCTCTCAATAATGTTGTACTGAATGGATGAGAGATGACATTTATTAATATTATAAGTATTATTAATTTTTATTTATATATTTGAGCATCTACTGATTTAAATATAACCTAGTAGTTTTTTCTTTTCCAACCTTAAATCAAATATGAGTCTTAGAGAAGAACCTGTATAGAATTGATTACATAAGCATTTTAGAAAATATGTGTAATTAGCAAAATAGTTTAATAAATTTTATTTTTAAAATTTCAAAACTTGTGCCATATTCATTCTGGTACATACAACACATTTTTTTGAGCAAGAACTCTGCAGCAAGCTTGGTACCAGTAGTGAAATCTCTGGGTATTAGGTAGGATGCAATTGACTTAAGCTAACAATGCTTTTATTAAAAGGTATTTAAATATGTCACAAGAAGTCTGGAGCTCAGTGATCCCCAGTTTGTGGCAGCAGCTCAGCTTTGTCATTGAGACCAGGGCTCTTTGCAGCTTTCAACTGTGTCATCCAAGGAGACTGGCTTTCCTTTCTTAGGCTTCTGCCTTATAGTTGCAAGATGGCTGCTGCACCTCCAAACATCACATCCTTCCATGGTCATGGTCAAGGCAGGAAGAGAGTAGGGGTGGAGGAAAGAGGACTTTTTCATTCCTTGGCTCACTCCTTTTATCGGACACCAAAATCTTTCCTGGAAACTTCAGTAGACTTTCCCTTAATCCCCACCGGCCAAAACTGGATTGCATGCCCACCTCATCTACCTAGTCTGGGGAGTGAGATAACCATAACTGGCTTCATCCAGTAAGGAGTTGTTCCTAGTAGGGGGTGGGGCTTGCCTTCGCAGAGCTTGCTGCCACCCCCTTTGCTGCTTGGAATCTTAGCAAGGGAGCAGGAAGGGGTTGAGGAGAGAAATGAATTTTAAGTAGGCAACCATTAGCATCATCCACTCACCTGTATTAAGCTATTTTCCTGAAAGTACACAAAATGGAAAGAAGGCGGTAATCATTCAGGTGAGAGAAGGGAGGACAAGAAAAAATAATTACCCAAATGGTTGACACACGTTAAAACAATTAAACAAAGATGTCAAAGGCTTAAACTTTATTGATTTTTTTTTTTAGCAATTTAAAGCTTGTATGGTAAATGGAAATGTATTAAACGCAATTTAAATGTATTTAATGCAATTTAAAACTTGTAGGATAAACACTCTATGAATTGTTCGAGGAATCAAGAAAAATTGCAGACTGAAATCTGTACACACCGTCCTTACTCATAGCATGCTGAGGTCTAGCCTACAACTTCCACCCTTGGTACTGGTTTTGCACCAGAGCTAAGAGAGTCAACATCCATCCCTCACTTTAAAAAAAAATTTTAAACAGTTTCTGTTTATGAAAGTAATATATGCTCATTTTTGCCCCTTTTTATCTATTACAATCTTAGAGGATCTCTCATGCAAGAGTAGATTTAATCCTGTTTCTGGGGCTGGCCCCGTGGCTTAGCGGTTAAATGCGCACGCTCCGCTGCTGGCGGCCCGGGTTCGGATCCCGGGCGCGCACTGACGCACCGCTTCTCCGGCCATGCTGAGGCTGCGTCCCACATACAGCAACTAGAAGGATGTGCAGCTATGACATACAACTATCTACTGGGGCTTTGGGGGGAAAATAAATAAATAAAATTTAAAAAAAAAAAAATTTTTTTTAAGTTTAATCCTGTTTCTGTATAATTTTAAAAAAATAAACATCTAGGCGTGTTGCTTTAAGTCTTTTTTCCAGGACTGACAATTGAGACGTGAAAGGAGAGTTGTGAGAAATCTTCAAGCCACAGTCTGAAGCTGTCACCTTGTGTTGCAGGACCCCAGCTAGGTGCCTCTCCATTCATCCTTTCATTTGTTCATCTGACACATATTTATTGAGGCGCCTGCTGGTGGAGTGTTGGGAATACTGAAGAGAACAGAGGCAAAAATTCCTACCGCGTGGATCATGTATTATAATAGGAGAAACATCATAAAAAAATCAATGAGTAAAATATATGATAAGTTGATAAGTGCTATGCAGAAAAATAAAGCAGGAAGGAGGGAGAGGAGCCCCACCCCGCTCCAAGCACTCCTCTCTCTCTTTCCTGCTTTATTTTTCTCCATAGCAGAAGAAAAATACCTCTCAGTGAGGGAGAAGGCCTCGCTGAGAAGGTGAACTTCCGACACGCACCTGAAGGTGGCGAGGGGGCAAGTCACTGATTCAGGGGAAGAATGTTCCAGGCAGAGGGCACAGCAGGCAGAAGCATGCCTGACGTGTTTAAACAGCAATGCCAGTGCAGTGTGGCTCAGGGAAGTAACAAAGGGGGCCTTTGGGGCCGTTGGTAGGACTTTGGCTTTTTTGAGAGAGACGAGAGCCATTGGAGGGAATGACATGATTTCACTTGGTTTTTAAAGAATCACTCTGGCTGCTGGATTGAGAACAGTCTATAGAGGGGCAAAGGCTGGTTAGGAGGCTAATGCCAGCACCAGTGAGGGATGTTGGTGGAGATGATAATCCCTGGAGCGTAATGAAGAACTAAGGATTATTTTATTTTGTGGCAAGTTTTCCCGAAGTTTTCTTGAACAGTACCAGTGGTACTGGGAATGTATGGATACAACCTGCAGAGTACCTTACAGTTACAGCTAGGGAACATTAATGGAATATAAAGTCAGGCAGATTGCACCTTTATAGAGTTGGGTGTAAGTTTGTTGTTCCGTGTAGATTAATCATGAAGAGTATGAGTTCTAGACTCAGGTTCTAGATTCAGATCCTGACTCCACCACTTACTGTGTGACCTTGGGCAAATTACTCTAAACTCTCTGATCCTTAGTTTTCCCACCTGAAAAATGGGGACAATAGGTTGTGTCCTATTGAGTTAGTGCATGTGCAACATTTAGCATTATATTGACATATACCCATTGATCAATAAATACTAGCTTTCATTGTACACATGGATATAACCATTAGTAAAGGTCAAAGAACCTCCCTATTTAACTTACTTTATTTAGAACCGTAGCATACTAGAGACGGAAAGGAACTGAAGCATCATTTAGTCCAACACCAGAGATCGAAGTGACATAGCCAAAATAAAAAAAAAAAAGGTTATATGGCCAATGTCACCTAGCTGGTGGCAGAGTGGGGACCAGAACATGGGTCTCTGGACTCCCAGTCCAGTGCTTTCTCTGCTATGCCACGTTGCTACTCTATAGCCCTCAACACAATACCAGGTGGGAATAATAATAATAATAATGATAACAAATATAAATGATTATTGACTCTTACTTTGTGCCAGACACCATTCTAAGTACTTTACACATCTTCACTCATTTAATCCTCATGACAGTCCTATGAGGCAGGTACAATCCTTTTCCCCACCTTGCAGAAGAGGAAACTGAAGGTTAGAGAGAGCAAGTAGCTTGCCCAGGTTGGAGCATGTGTGTGGTGGGGGAACACTGGCGCCTGGGCGTCTCGCTGGGAGGCTGCTGCTCCCAGCACTGCATGACCTTCCTTCTCCGTTTGTAGAACAGGGAGATTGAATGCAGTCTTCAAGGTCCCTTTTCAACTTTGAGATTTGCATATCCTAAGTGCTCTGCAGTGATCAGGGCTGAAAGCAAGACCATTTCAGTTCATTAAACTTGCTGTCTTATTAACTGATCTTCATCTTAATGATCAGTTGCAAGAAAGACTTTTTGTAGAACAGCCTAGAAACCAAAGTCACCAAAGCTGTGCGAGATTCCTGAAATGTTTTTTCTGGCTTCCATAGCAACCCTAACATTGGGCGTTAAGCTTGATGGAGTCATTAAGGCAGCTGGAGCCGAGCGTCCGCGCGAGCACTGTGACTGAGGAGGAAGCAAACTGCTGGCTCAGTCGTCTTCCTTCTGTGTAATGTACTGTCTCAGTGTGTTTTAGGGAGTGGAAACCTCAGCCAAATTAAGTAAGAATGGAGGGAATGAAGCATCTTATCAAAGTGGAGAGACAGAGCAAGTTTCCAAACAAATTAGAGAGAGAGGACAATCTAGGTGCCTGAGGGAGTCACTGAGAGAGAGGGATGGGGGTAGGCAGGCAGAGGTTTCAGGGGAAGGGGAGAGAGTTGGCCCCACTTTCACAAAGCTTGGAGGGACAGGCCTTCAGGGGAGCTTTGTGAAGAGGCCTGAGCATGCCCAGTTGTATTTTTTTGTTCCAGTGTATTTGGAGTTCTCAGCAGGAACCCACCGGATGAGTGAGGCATCAAGAAAGCAGAAATCTTGAGGAGTTGAGGGACCACCAGGGCCAATGCAGGAAACAAAGCTTTCTAGGTATTTTAAGCAGAAAGGAATTTTAGACAGGGAACTAAGTGCTTACATAATTGTTGGAAAGGCTGAAGGAGGCAGAATCTGGGGCCGTCATACAAGAACCCATTGCGGGGATCATACCTGCATAACTACATCTGTGAGGCTGGTTGGCAGACACTAGAACAGCAAATCTGTCTGTCTACAACCTTGCTTGCCAGCAGAAACAGCCTCCACCTTGCTTACTCCTTAGTGGGTGTATCTAATTGGTGTTACCTAATTCTTACCCAGCACCCTGGCTGCAAGGGAGTCTGAGAAATGTGGGTTTTATCCTTTTAGCTTCTGCAGTACTGGAAGACTCACAGAAAGAGGTGGGAGTTCTAGCCGAGTGCTAACTGATATTCAGTCAGTGGTTATTCGTTTGAAATTTGAATTGGGAGAGCAATAGAGGTAGAGGAGTTGGACCCTAAGAGAGAGGAGCTGGCAGGCTCAGCGCTGGCCTAAACTGCCTGCTGCACCGGCTGAAAGTCCTTCCAGTAGACTCGCTGCAGGGTTAGATAACAAAGGGGTAGAAACTTAACTCCTAAAGCCAGAGGAGTTGTCTTAACATTTTCTCTGGTGCTTTCTCTATTAGTGTATACATCAGGGATGTCAATTTACACCTGACACCAGGCTGGGACCTCAGATGGGAGGGAAAACAAGGCGGGCAGGCCTGGAGAGACTGGCTTTGGGTTGGGCCAGGTATGGAGGGAGTGAAGTCTGGGCTGTCAGGACCCCTCAGAATGTGCCCTAAAGGAGGATGGGCACATTTAAAACCCTTTGGTGGCTCCCTATGGGCTCCTTCATGAAGTGCAAACTTCTCTATAGGAGGCACATACAGCCCTCCCTACATGGCCCTGTCATCCCATCCCGTCCTTTAATATAACAGCCGTACCACACCACCTGCAGTTACCTGTACACATGTGCACCCTCCTCTCTTCCAGCCTCCAGGCCTTTGCTAATGCTGACCCTTTGCCAAAAATGCCCACCCCAACTCTTTGCCTGGCCAACGCCTGCTCATCCTATAATAATATAAAAATATTATAAAATAATATAATATGCATCACCTTCTCCAGGAATCTCCCCAGCCACCCTTTTGGGATCGGCGCTTTCCTTCAGGCTTCAGTTTCTCATGCTTTTTATGAAGTTTATGAATCTGTCTTCTCTACAAGGCTGTAGGCTCCTCCCAGGCTGAGGCTGCTTCTCATGTTTCCCCAGCACCCAGCACAAAGAGGGGGATTCCATAGTGTTTGCATAACTCAACCAAACCGAAATAATGAGAGAAGTGTCTCCAAAGACAGACTTTGCCTTTGATGGTACAGGGCTCTGGAACCTTCTGCTCCTTGCCTCCTTGTGTGCCTGCACCCCTCCCCTTCCAGGGAAAGGACTGCAAGACTGCATCTAGCGAGGTGTGACGTTCTGGCCTCTTCCTCCTGGTACTCATCTCGCAGCTCAACCCCACATTGCTTTTTACAGATTGCTCTGCTCTGCTCCTGACTTCCACTTGCTGAACTCTCAGAAAGCAGATGAGGCAATTGCTCAATTTATTAAGTTAAAATGCTCTTATGGGTCAAATGCCAGTTTGCTTTTTAAAAGCCACCTACACTGTTTTTCGCTTTGCAGAGAGAAGAAATCGCCTGTTTCCCAGGACTTGCTGTACTATCTCGTATTGGGGGACGGGCACGGTGTGTGTGTGTGTGTAGGTTACGATTTCAAGATAGGAGTCATTTCCCAATTTGAGAAAGGAAGAAAGATGGTCAGACGGGTTTTGATAGAGAATACCAAACTTATTCTGTATGTAGCTCAGGGCTTCTTTATACTTCTCTTTATTGATTAAGGGAAAGCCTGTTTGCATAGCAAACTCCGAGAGACGACGTGAGGGGCATTTTTTAGCGAAACGTTAGCAAACTGCTTTACCTTGCAAGGAAATTCAATTCATTGGAAACTGTTTTCTCCAGGGCTAAACTGGGGCAGCTTTCTCTTTGGCTCCCTTGAAAAGAAAATTGTCCAAGGTTCTGGAAACCACAGTTGTTGAACCTCATATGATGTCTCTTTTCTTTCAGCTCGTGTAACAGTTACTAGAGGAGACTGGTGTGATGTGGCATGTTTTTTCCTTTTTTTCTTTTCCGTTTTGCTGGCTTGATGGTGCACACTGCAGGGCCTTAGAGGGCTGTGCTCCTAAAGGAATTTATGACAGTCAACAGGGACGACTGATATTTGAGCTGGTGTCAGCCCAGGATCCCCCAGGGTGCCATTGGCCCATGTCTCTGGTTTATGGAGAACCATTGCTACCCAAAGATCTAGGCTCATTCACCAGAACTTTCTTTAAAAAAAAAAAAAAAACTGAACTCATCATGACATTAGCAAGTATATTTTGCATAAAACCTTTCCAGTTTGTATCTCCATAGGCATATAGAATCCATCCTGAAATTATCTCTCCCAGCAGCCCCATCTCTCTCTGCTCTGCAAGTGCTCTTCTTGGTAATAGCTGGTTAAAGTGTACACAGTTCAAATCTGACAATACTGAAATTTCATCGTTTGCCTCTGAACTTTGGTTCTGCTTATAGGTGACAGAAAGAACTTAATGAAATAAAGGATGACTTTCAGACTATATCTCATGTGTTCTTGAGAGAAGCACATAGGACATGGCACCTTGAATGGTATCAACTGCTTTTTACGAAGCTCATTGGGGCAAGCTGGTGTATGATAAAACACACAGAGCAGGAAGAAGCAAACTGGAGTGGCTCTGGCAGAACAGGGAGCTTGGCATGCCACACTTCCCCTTCCCCCAGCCATCTCCCACCCTCTCTCCTATCCAACCAGGCATTCAGAGCAGGGTGCATGTGGAGGGAAGACCACAGAAATCGCCTCCACGGGGATGTACGTTGTTACTTTTATCCTCAGTAGTTGACTAAGAGGTAGAGAGTGTATTTGCTCCATGTCTTTGCTGGGTTCATGCCTCCTCATTCAGAAGTACAATCTCTAGCGACTGTTCTTTGTGATCGAGGGTTAGACTATTCTGGCTAAGCGTATGCTGTGCTTATTGGATAATAATTCATCGTGCTCTGCCTCATTCCGCACTCATCTGTATGCTTGTCTCACTGCCCTCCTGGACTGTAAGCCCCCTGAGGCCAGGGGCTGCGTCTTCTACATGTCAACGTCCTTGCAGCTGCAGCATTGAATTTTGCCTGTGGTGCCTGCAGCTCACTGCCTTCCCTGTGCCAGCCCTGAGCCAGGCATTGGTGAAAGGAAGATGAATAAGGCCCAGTCATGACCTCAGAGGTTTGCCTTATGGTTTGATGGTTCTTGCAGGCCAGTAAATACGGTATTTGTGTGATGATATCCCTGCACATTAAGTTACTAATTGTGCTTACTGTTGTGACTCTCTGGTGATGCCAAAGGCCCTTTTGGACTTGAGTCGGTGCAGCAGGTGATTCGCTGGGGCCTAAGGCACCGCACTGACTCCTGGGGCACTGGCCCAGGGCAGAGGGTGAAGTGGGGACTTGTGCACTTGAATTGAGGGAGTGTGTCTTGAATTGAGCTTTAATTTTCTGCATCTCATTCCAGTCTCCACCACCAGTCCTCCCCAGATTTTATCTGGGGATTAATGTGTTAGCTGGTAACTGGGAGGGTAGCAGGCAAGGCTCTTCTCTGGGACATTTACCTGTTCAGAGGAAACTCTTCGTGCTTGGTCACCTACTGGGAAACAGAGACTAAGATCAGGCTAGAATCAGACTGGCTTGGGATTGAAATCACCACCACTCATTCGCCCTGTGCTTGTGGACTTGTTATTTCACCTCTCTCAGCCTCAGCATCCTCGTCTATAAGTTGGGGGTAATAATGGTGCCTACCTTTGTTTGTTTTCTGAAACTACTTGAAAGCCAGGGCATATCTGACATACACATGTTCCAAGAATGGAACAGAATGTGGATCAGAACCCACGGGAGAATCAGGATGTACGATGTTTGGTTGCCATATTTACAACCTCGCTTCTGGTCTTGGGGAAGAGGGTGCTAGGGCACAGGAAGGGGTCCCGTGACACTGTCTTCTACCCTGGACTCCTGGCTCTGTGGCAGATGGTCTCTCAGGCTCACATGCTCCTTGGGATAGACTTCTCAGATTTGCTGTACCCAAGAATCACCTGGAGCAATTACAAGCGCAGATTCCTGGGCTCTAGCCCCAGAGATTCTGATCCACTGATCTAGAGTGCTGCCTAGGATTCAGCATTTTAAATAAGTACCCCAGGCATTTCTGATGTCATCAAGACATTGAGGATCCCTGCTGTGGGCTGTTCTTTATTGTATCTCCACTGACAGCTCTCCCAGCCCACTCCAGTTCAGGGAGGGGTATCTGCAACTTCTCTCTTCTCTGCCCTCCCACCCCTCCCACGCACATATGCACATTGAAGGGAAGGAGCAAAGACACCGACGGAGCATCTCTGTGCCTGGCGCTATGCTGGGTACTAGGGGTTCACTGAAGACACTACATGTGGCTGGGTAGCTACATGCATGAGATGCTGGTAGGAACATGCTCAGACAGAGGTAAACGCGGTGGTAGTGGGGGGACAGGGACCAGGGGACTCAGAGGAGGGCCGTTTAGGTCAGTGGAGGGGGCCCATCAAAGAAAGGTTCAAAAATAGGCAACCACAGGGCTGAGTCTTAAGCTGAGGAGGCAGCCAGGAGGGGATGGTGTGTAGGGAACTACCAACAGTTTGATGTTGCTGGGGTATGAGGTACAGGGCAGGAGTGGTGGGCTGGGTCCAGGAGGCCAAAGAGTTCGTTAGTTCATTCTCCCATGAACATCAGTGACCTTGCTGTCAGTGACCTTTAGGCTGGTGGCTTTTGAAGAAATTGCTTAGATGAAACAGCATCCTGAGGCTCACTTATACTAGGATATACTAACTAACAGCTGCCAAATCCAGCTATTGTGACTCCAATCGATGAAACTCACCAAAATATGCATTTATAGGAAAGTTCTGCTATGAAGAGAGGAGGAGTAAGGTCCATTTATTGGGGGAGTCTCTCTACCCTCCGAGCTGGGAAAGCCATTGGTGAGATGATTGGGCGGTAAGGTCAGGAGGGATCTAATGGGAATGATTGGAAAGCATGTGGTTGGCGAATCGGTTTCATTCCCCAAGCCCCCTCCAGGCGCTGGGTCGTGGGAGCATGGGGTGCTGTGTTGAGAGCAATCCTGGGGCTGAACTTTGATTCTGGTCTGGGATTGATTAGGGGGGGTGGTCTCACAGGTGCTGGGGCTGGCTGTCTGGGGGGCAATGTGCAAGGCTTGGGATTTGCAGTCCTGACGCCAGATTTTATCATGTGACTGGCTATCAATCCAGATGTCTCCTTTCCAGTGCTTTATACAGTTGAATTTTTGAGCCTTACATGCAGAGCTTGACATTTATACCAATTAGATTTCATCTTGTTAGTGTTGACTCATTATTCCAGCCCTCAGAAATCCTTTCTGGTCCTGACTCTGTTATTCAGTTTATAGCGATTCCTCCCAGCGTCGTATGTAGTTGTGTAGAGAGAACCACAAGTGCCCCAGCATTTGGAAAAATGTTTGGAAAATGTTACCAAGTCAGGAATGATTTGCTAATGAGTCCAAGATATGTCTTACATCCCATTAGGAAGTCCAGGGTGTCTCCCTAATACAATATAATCAAGTGTTC